TACGTCTATCAGCCACTATATCAGGTTATCGATACCTGTCATAATGTACATTTCAAAAACAGCACTGAAAGAAAAGCTGGAAGACAAGAACCTAGGTTTTGACTATAGATTTTTCTTCACCTTCACTCTTTATAAACTGACAAGCAATGCAGACACAGAATTTAAAAAAATGTGTATCTTCATTTCTGATAGTTTCAACACATCTCCTGCACATCTCCGCCCAAAAGTCAAAAAATAAAATATATACGTGTAAATCTCATCATTCCACCCAAGCTAATCTTATCAAACAGACGAATAATCAGAGTCATTGCCATAGATCCTGTATCCCCTGCCTTGACAAATTCCAACACACCAGCACACAATCTTTTAAAGAAACAAAGAAAATGTGTTCTAAGAGATGCCAATGGCTAAAAATTGATTTATTTCTCAAAGGAAAAATTGTTTGAGCTGGACCCTAGTGATGCAAAGAGCAGCTCTGACATGGTGATGTTTGGCATTCTCTTTATCTCCCTTTTAGATGATGATGAGCATGAATGGATCATTCGGACCTGCCGGAAAGCTTGGGATGAAACAATTGAACAGAAACCGAAACCATGAAAACAGTTCTTGTTAGACAATAATATTCCAAAACAGGTAACCTGATTCACAATAAACCTAATTTGTCCTCGTGGATTTGCCTCACCCTTTCCCTCTACAGGAATATAGTATTTTTGTCATCTTTGTCAGCACAAATAAAAATGGAAATAATCATTTAATCAGTCGTACTGAGAAAAAGCCATGGAAAAAAAGCAGACTGTACTCACAATAATATTCCTGAGAGGTGTGTAGTGTAGTATACATACACGTTATTAAGCCTGAAAACAATTTGTTAAAAAGAATGCCTCAGATTCAGTGTTGAAGTCATTCAAATCCATCTTAATCAACATTATTTTCCCAGATTTTAGTTAGCTGTCCTGGTGAATTCCTTTCCTCTCTGTTTGCTCAGTACTTTGATATTGATTGATCATTGTAATAATGTACACCAGAGGTATTCTTTAATGACTGGTTTGCTAACTAGGAAATTATATCCATTTACTACGAACGTTTGTTGAACTCTCCTGAAGCCAGAATTTAACAAAATAATAAAAGAGGAAAACTGGGTGGGTTGCTGCTTGATTAGTAAGCCAGAAAATATTTAAAAATAAAATAAAATGGAATTACATCATTTTCTGGATGTAAGTGCCAGCACTTCTACTTGCATTAACTTTATTTATTACACAAATAAGACATTTACAAAGCACAACATTCAAAGTATGTAACAAAACAGACATTGGTTTTACAAAAAAGTGCTTACAATTTAGTTTTACTTTTTTAAAATAAATATTAGTCTTGACTGTCCACTCATTCAGAGAATTTTTTTTTAACCATTGTAGCCAAGACATGCAAAATTGCAACATGCTACAACAAAATGACTGGCGGATAAAATAAAACTGATGTGTGTATAGTTGGCATCCTACAGATATATCACTGATAGTAGCGCAGGATTGCTTCCCACTCCCCCGTCCCAACTGTTGTAAGTTGTGTAAGCACCTTTAGCTCGGGCATCGGGGTTAACCAGCATGAGCCGAAAAAAAAATAATTGGTAATAAAATTGTAAACCATTCCACTTTCAGACCCTAGCCATATTTAGTTACCTTATTAAACTTGAGTGAAAAGCCTTTCACTGGCTATCTTCGTTGGATTTTGTCTGCAAAAGGTTTTGTAAATAGCAACTAGAAAAGTTTAGTACATGGAGTCTGCATTGCTGCACCAGAACCCATTTGGCAATTACTGAATAAACTAAGAAAATGAGAATGATTTTAATTTTATTTTTTTTTAATCTACAGACAGGAGATGAATGCAAATGACCTGAGATAAGGTTTGGTTCAGTGGCAACAGTCAGTGTGAAATATGTTGTGAAACAATGTATTGAATAAATTAGAGGATTTCTTACATTCTTGGTACAGTTGAATATTTTCCATACACATAATTAGCTCTAAAACTGCACAAGCTGAATTGCTTCCAGTTTTTGCAAACAGTTTGGGCTTAATATAAACAGAGCCTGATTTCTGAATTAGCAAAGCTGCTCCTGGCTACTTATGGGGGAAAGTGCCCCGGAGCACAGTCTGTGCGGGGCAGTTCGCCCCACGGGCAGTGGCGAGTCCACTTCCACTGGAGAGAAGCACCCACGCTTCCCTGGCTCCCTGCTTTGCACTCCGGTCCTGTCAGTGGTATCAGTTACAAAAACGTTGATATACAGTACATTTCACAAGTGGGGGGTTTTGATCAGTAACTAAGTTGATATTTAGCAGATACATATTTAATAGTTTCCCTTTCATTGCACTGCCGAGACAGAAGAGAAATGCATCAAACCATTTTCTCCCTCAACAAAACAGTTGTGGAAATCTCAAGTACTGTGGGATGTCAGGTCAAGTTACAGCCTGAAGTCTCTCCTTCAGTCTTAAATGAAATAGCTACCCACTCGTTTATGGCACTAATTCCACAATTAAATGGTCATTAGGATGCGCGAGCACAAATGGAGAAGAAAGTCAGGCCCCGGTGACCCTGGCGACCGCCACCAGCGTCTCAAGGCTATTGCGTGTGGACACAGCAACCCACTTCAACCTCGCGGTTACAAATGCTCCAACACCAACAAAGGGAACGCCCGTCCTGCGCTCATTGCTACAGACAAGGAGAAAAGCGACTGCAAGGAGTGCAACTTGTGACCGTCCCCTCCCCGAGGGGATGCTTCTGCAGCGGTGGTTCCAGTCAGGTCAGGCGGGCGGGAGTGCCTTGTCACTGGCTACACACTGGAAATGGTTATTCGCACGTCAGGAGGTGACAATAATACTTTGCGGACTTAATTTCCTCTCTCCTTTCAAAAGTTATTTTAAATTGGGGATAGAGCTGCTAGCTGTTGGCTGCAATTAGGCAGAATACTGGCCTAACTGTCCAAGTTATTACCATCACTCACTCTCTCTCTGAATTTTTTTTAATATATATACACACAGAGAGGGTGTGTGTGTATATATATGTTTGTTCCAACAAATATCAATGCATGCTTGTACTCAGTTACTTCTCAAACCAAGAGATCTTGGTGGCCACCTCAGCAGACATCTGCATCTCCTTACGCCATTCCCTGTGCGGTCAGAGCAGCGAGCGTGCCTCGCAGTTAGCTGGAGCCACGTGTCCGGCCATCGGTGTCACACGGAGCTCGGGGGCACGGCCAGGAGAAGGCTTGCCGTGTGTGCAATACAGGCTGGCCAAACCAGTGGGATGGCTGCCCACCTAGCCGATGTTGGAGATTGATCCAGGATCTCCCAGAGAGAAAAACACATTGATCTACAGTTTGAATTAAAAACAAGTTACATAACGGATGGAGTCCTGTCTTCTGCTCCTCAGGCACATTTCGGTCATATTACACACTAACTGTGGCTCATAGTAGGCTTTCACATTCTTGGAAATGTGGCCTCACAGACACTTAGCAGCAAGACAGACCCGTGTGCTTGCATGGAGAGAGGTTTCATTACAGACCTGCTCTTGGCTCGGTGCAAACTGAGAAGGGCTGGCAAAGGTTACTTGTTTACTTTTTGTTATTACCGTCAATGAAGGATCATTTCGGAGTTTTTTTCCTGATTTGGGGCCAGACTGCTGAGCACTTCCTTTGCTGTTGCAATGAGCCCTGCGGTGCCTGCCCCGCCGACAGCAGTCCTCCTGGGCTGTGCCTTCGTCCGAGGACTTGGCAGGAGCAACAGCCGTACTCCAGCAAGGGAGAACAACAGGAGGGCAGAGGGACTCAGAGCGACGCTGCCAGATAAAGGAATATGCCATCACGTTGCTGTCCACTCAGCTAGCGACCGCTCCTGCTGGCCTCACTGCTGTTTTCGCCTTGTTAACCGGTCTCTGGTTTCTACCCCACTGCTTCCACTGACTGAACTGGGGTCCACACCAGGGCAGAACATTTCTACACGTTTAGGGTCAGCTTCCATTGAGGATTTCCCAGTCCCAGAGCATGGAGCGTCTGAGAGTTTTGTGTAGATACATTCTGAAATCACCCATTTGTGATCCAATATGACTCCAAGGAAATAAAGTAGCTTGTTAATAAAGAACAAGAATGAAAAATAAAAAAACAAAGATTTGGCAGATGGCTGTGAGAGGAGAGAGATATTCAGTGCTCTAAGAACAAGTCAGCAATCAAAAGCTTCGGAGTGCTAAACCTGGCTCTGCCACCAACCCCCACGGTTCCTCTCAGTTCAGGACATCTCGGTTTCCCCTCCTACAAAACGGGGGGAAAAAACACTAAGATTTACTTACCTTAGAGTGATCAAAGGACATGTGATTCTAAAGCACTTTGAGGAGGAAGAAAAACTGCCTATTTCCAGCTGGCATCGTGTTTTCCACTTAGTGGAGTCTCAGCTACCCGCGAGTTTGGCTCAGGAAGGTCTGTGTATATATCGAGTTGCTGAGCCAAAAAAGCCCATTTCAGATTTCACACATGCAAGTGGAAATAAGGAGGGATGTCCGGGAACCGACAGCGCTTCACTGGTGCAAAAAGAGAATCAGGCCAAACCACGTAAATTCCTCCTTCCTTTATGTTCAGAGGTGATCATCGACCCCCCTGAGACTCGGCATGTTCTGGTTTGTTCATATTCCCATGGGTTTGGGAGCAAGATTTGCAAGCACAGTAGAGTCACTAATTTTGACTGTGTCTGGCATTGCCTTGGAGAGACTCACGGCCATCCTACAAGTCCACAAGAAACAAGTGAAAAATGTAACTCTGCACTCAACACACACATACACAGAGTGTCGCTGGAGAAATAATAGTGGATGTTAGGTGCTGGTCAATGGAAATAACAGAGTGCTGGATCTGAGTTTCTCCCGCATGACTGATAACAGTTGCCTTGGGCTGGACGCTGTGTTTCAGCGGCTGAGGGGCAGTGGTGCTGGTAGCGCCATGGGCAGATGAGGAAGAGTTCGTGCAGTCAGTACTGAAAGAGGATGACCTAGTGGGAAAAATGGGAATCGAGTGTTAGTCGCTTTCAGAGACAGACAGCCCTCGCAGTGGAAATGTGTTTTCAGGGACCAACAGAACAGACATGTGCCCCGCTGCCGCTTCCCCATGGACAAAACCCTCTCTGGAACCACGGTCTGCCCGGGAGCCGCCAGCCCTGCCCTCGGAGCGGAGCCGGCCGGGGAAGGCACGGGCAGAGGTAACGGGACTGTGGCAGCACACGGCCTGAGAGAGAGGTGTGCCTCTGTGAAACTATATCATACTGGGCAACACACTGAAACCAGCGTTTATTTGCTCTGTGATATGGCAGCTACCAAGAAAGATGAAGACCATTGCCAATGGTCCTTACTCTATCCGCCTCACTTGCTAGTCATCACAGGCTTCCCTCAAACCACTATACCTCGCTGCTCTGCAAATACAGTGTCTGTCCTTGCCGTCGGTCAGGGGAAGGAGCCGCTGAGCTGGTCACAACTCGGTTCTCCCACAGCCGCTGTGCTGGGTACCCCGAGAGGAGCGGGGGTGTGTGCCCCACGTGCAGAGGGAAACAGAGACTTAGCGTTTACATGTGTTTTCCCAGGATCTCAGCTATCACTGCTTTTAAAAAATTTTGGATGTGGAAAAAGAAGCTGCTTCAGATTTCAGGAATTAAATATGCAAGTGATTGTTTGGGAAAGGAGCTGCTTGGGGGGCAGCTCCATGTCCTGAGAACGCAGTTCTGCAACAGCTGCGAGCAAATAATTGCATTTAAAGCACAGGAACTACTTGCTGCAGTGAAGTTTCTCTGAATGACAGCCCCAGAACTGTACAATATTTTCTGAAAACTCTCCAGCTTGCTGTGCAGCTATCACAACAAAATGGTAGCATTTAGACTGAAAAAGTAACTTTGCTGTGCTCCTGCTTGTGCTTATCGAAACAGAGCTCAATAAGCTACCGTTGCTGCACTGAATAGAGAGAGATTTGAAAAGAGATGCAGAGAACTTCTAACAGTAAAGACGAAAGCTAAAACCAGTAAGAGTTGCCAAAGGCTCAGTGTTTCCTCAAAACTGGGATTCTAAATAAAATCTTATGAGACTAAGCATGTTTCAGAAGTCTTGCCCCCAAACAAGCTGTGTGTTAGAACAGACAGCTACTTCAAGTGCTGAACAGAAAAATATCAATATGCAATATTGTTTCCTGGCCAGAGATTGTGAAATAACATTCCTACTTCAGATATTTTAACAGCCAGTTGTTATTTTTTTAAGCAATACTGGATTCCCCAAGAAATGAATTTTTCTTATTAACTCATGGAAAACTGGAAAATCAGCACATGCTAAAGGCCCCCCCTGCTCCATCGTTAACAGCCGGTCGCTGTTTGCACCGACAGCGCATGCAGACAGCTGAGGAACGGAGCAGGAGAACGGAGCTCACTGCACACGGGAAGGGGAGAAACCAGAGAGAGGAGTTCAGGCAGGAGGATGTCAGAAGCCTTCAGTGAATGCAAGCACAGCACCCCAGCACATCACAACGAGGGGTATTTAGTGACGAACAAAGTGATGCCATTTTGACCAACAGTTGGCACATCGATCTAGGGTCATCAAAATTAAGAAAAGACACATGAGTGGGCGGCAGCTGCCGGAGATCATGGAGAAGCAGTGATGCTGACAAGAGACGGCAGTGGCAATGATGTTACAGAAAAATCTTTGCTACGGTTGAGGTTTGGCCCCAAAGCCTGAAACAGGGACTACAATTACCTTCTCACCCCTATTAGATAGTGGTCCTTCCATGTCTGCTTTGAGGAGCACTGGTGGAGCAGGGTAGGGAAGTATTGTAGGGAAGTCTACAGTGCACTTGTCCACACTGTACCTGACCTGTGGATGAGAAGAGGCTTCAGCCTCTGTTACTACAAACAACACACGCCCTGCAACCGGCACGGTCAGACTTCCACCAGGGAGCAGCTCGAGACACGCGCGGAAGAAGAGGTGCCCGGTGGGTCAGGCGGAGGCGCAGCAGGAGCCGTGTTTTACTACGGCCACGTGGGCAAAGGAGGAGAGAAGCCTCACAAGAGTCACGGAGCCAAAACCTCCGTCCAGGTGTGACCAAAGCTGCCCGCCACTCGCAAACGATTCACCGGCACTGGGCAACTGTTAGAGAAAGCAGCTCTGATCTTGTGAGCAGGAAGGAGACCACTTGACCACCAAGCTCAGCAGGGTACATTCACGCCTCTTCTCCATGACAAAGAACACACAAGGAGGGCCAAGGACCAGTCAGGTAAAACCCCAGCAGTGACTTTCCTGGGGTTGAGGTATGGAGGGAAAGACGCTGCAGCAGCCCCCTCTCCCCTCCTTCTCTCTTCTGGGGCTTCCCCGTAAATGGCCCTTCAGAAAATCCCAAAGACAAAGTTCATCAGACCATGAGGAGGAGGAGGAGCATGTGCACCAGCCGTGCACCCCCAGTACAAGGGCGTTTTTGACAGCGCTCTGTGCCGTGGTGCCACCGCCTGCTCCCGGGGAGCACCCCACTGCCCTGCCGTCCCCAAGCACCCCGCTGCCGGAGCCCTGCGAGCCGCCACTTACTTTCTATGTATCCGTGCAGCGTCACCATCCGGGCCCGCTCCGGGCTGCTGAAGGGCGAGTAGTGAATGTCGTCGGAGAGCGAAGAAGGGATGCGGGATGGGGGGGCTCCCGAGGGCGGCACTGTGTGCTGCGGGGTGTGTTTTTTATGGCGGGCTCTGCAGTTTTGAAACCAAACCTGAAACAAAAGCAGCAAACCCTCTGTCAATGGAGAGACAATTGGATGAAGCGTGGTCCTTCACCAAGACCCTATGATGAGTGTCTCTTCCAAATATTTAAAAAAAAGGAATCAAATTAAGAAATCTGCACACTGAAATACCTCACCAGCATTCCACCGGCTTCCATAGCTTTATTTTACACTCACCAGAGCAAGAGTTTTGTCTCAAAACAGTACAGATATTAGGGTGCCCAAAGTGGCATCACTACTATTAATTTGTCTTGGTCAAAGCCAACACCGTTCTTTTCTAGGGTAGTTAAAACTTTCAGGCTTGTCGCAGGAGTCACCGAGTGAACCGCCCTGACTGGGTGATGCAGAAGCTCACATTAATGATCACACTATTCCCTTCCACACTAAAATAATTTTAACGGCAAGCCGCTCCCTGAGCTCGAAGGGCTGTGAAAGCCCTTGGTAACAGCACCAAACCGGCCGGGGGAGCAGCCAGGCAGAAGCACCCCCCGTAGCCGAGCTTTGGCTGGGTTCATCCATCCCTGCAGGCAGAAAGCCTCGTCCCTGCATGGCTTCCAGGACAAATGATGGGAGCACCCTTCAAAGCCTTATTTAGATTTTAACCTTCAGCCCCACTAGCCTGGCCTAAAAGCATGGCTGAGATCAGCTGGGAAATGCGTGAGCATTGGCAAGGTAAGAGGCAAGGGGAGACAAAACTCAGTAAAAGCTTAGACAAGGAGATGTGACTTTAAGGATGATGAAAGGAATATTGTTTTAATCACTTGTGGTTTATCGTATTTAAAAACCACATCAGCAGAACATTAAAGCTGAGAAAAGAGGGTACTGTGGGATACAGCCCTACTCCATCTGAGCAGCAGGTATGAGCCCTCTGACCATATCTCACTGCTTCTAATTAAAGGAACAGTTAGGGGATTACAACCTACAGTTAAAATATGCATGGAGGGGGGGTTACACTAATGTGATGATTTCTTTCTTATGCTTTAATTTTTGAAAGATAGCTGGGGGTAAAAACCTTCTCCAAGGCTGAGCGAAGTGAAGCTCTCTGAGGCAGCGCACACTGGACCACAGAGAAGGAAACAGTCGTAAGCATTTAACAAATTGCTTCCTGTTCAAAGCGCCTTTAAAAAATATCCACATAAAAAATAGCCCAGTGTGCAGACTGCTTGATCTTTAGCTAAATGAAGAATCTCAATAACTGAGGCTCGAGCCAGATTTTCACAGACACGAAATTTAAATGTGTCATTGGCAAAACAATCCTGGATGAAAACTCCCAATCTATTTTAATCACTCGTGTTTTTATTGTATGCAGAAAGTATGTCAGCAGAACATTAAAGTGAAGAGTATAAATGTCACCAAGGGGCAAAGCTGGGCTGTCTACGGGGACGGCGAGCTGGGAGCTGCAGCGGGGGCATTTCCCTCAGTCCCTACAGCACCGCTCTCCCTCTCCTCCCGAACAGCACAAGCACAGGGACTTTCCTGCCACCGCTTCCCCTGGGGCTGCACAACCCCTTTTTCTTTAAGCTTCTCAGTCCCAACGCTTCCCAAAGCAGCTGACTTTGCCTGGTCCCGGCAGGGACGGCTGCTGGCTGCCGGGGAAGCACCCACGCTGCCCGCACCCATTGAGCTCCAGGGCAGCTTTCCCACCCTGTGATTTATTAGGACTGGCTGGGGCTATGGGGGTTTTTTTTTTTTTTCATTGCATCATAAGAGGGAAAAACAAATAGAAAACCCACGAGCAAGATAGAGGAAGGACAGTGCTGGCACCGCTATGGGACCCGGCGAAGCTGACATGCCAGTGAGGCAGCACAAAGCTGTTGGATGCTGCAAGTCCTGGGGTCGATGTGTGGGAGCGAGGGGCTACGGGGACGGGAGCCCTGTCTAGCACCAGCCTTTTGGTGCACCCCCTGCCCCTTTCCTCAGCCCTGCTTGGGGCTGCTCGGCCGATGGTGCCCGCACCCTGCCCACCCCCGGCTGCCCCTCACCTGAATGACTCTCCGACTCAGCCCCGTCATGTCCGCCAGCTTCTGAAGCGTTTGTGCGTCGGGGTTGTTGTCCTGAGCAAACTGTGCCTGCATGACCTGGAGGGGAGAGGAGAGGAGAGAGGGGGTCAGGATGAGGCCGGGGAGCTGCGGCCCCTCCAGCCCCCCCGGCCCACCCCCCGGCCAAGCCCCGCTCCCTGCAGCTGCTCGGCGGTGAAGGAGGTGCGGGCCCTCTTGGCCGGCTTCGGCTGGCTGTCCTGCTCCGAGGGCACAGCCCCCTCCAGCGTGATCCCGTTGCCTACGAGAGAGAAGTCCCGTGCAGCACAGCTCAGAAACTGCCCACCTGCTTGTCTCTCCCACGTGCCACGGCCGCTCGACCGGGGGACAACACGCCTGGCATCATGGCGTGAGGCACCCACAGCATCCCTTGCTGCAAGCAGTAGCAGAAAGACCGGAGCCAGCACTGCTGCTTGGGAGCTGCCCCGGCTGCTGAGCCCCTCCAGGAGACACCTCTGGCCCCGAGGAATTTACCGTTGAATTAAGAAAAATGCAGCAAGTTGGCGGAAGGTGTGGGAAATGAGGGACGAGGAAATGGCAGCAGGAAGATGGGTTTCGAGGTGATGTCTCACTGGCCCTGACTCGTGGCGACCACTTGGCCGTGTCCTCCAGCGAGTGGCTCAGAAGGGCACCCTGCCTCCGCCGGGCTCACCGACATCCATCACTCCTGCCCCATGCTGCTCCCCATGACCCGTCTTCCCCTGCGGGCACTGTCTCCATCAGTCGTTTCATTTGCTCAGAGCGTTTCAATGGGCTCACTGCTTCCTTTCCCCAAATCTTCCCGGCACCCCGACCTCCTCCTCCCGGCCCCCCGACCTCCTCCTCCTGGCTCCCGGAGCAGCAGCAGGAGCAGTGCCGTCCCCATGGCCTCGGGGTGCCCACGCTCTAAGCAGCAACCACACTAAGGGAGACATGCCAAGGGGGGGACTGCCCACCCACTTGCCAAGCACAGCACTGGGGCGAGCCCAGCCGTGCTCGCA